ATGGGAAAATATGACATAATATAAATATAATAAATACAATATAATTCTATAAATAGATTTTCCCTTAACACAACTCTTTATGACAATATCAGATATATCAATCAAAAAATATTAGTGAAGTTATTCTTGTGTGCAAAAAGGAACATTTGATTTTTGGATTTTTTACATGACTCATAGATATTTGTTGCCAGTGTTTTAATTTAATCTCTATTCAAAGTTCTCCAATAATCACAAAAAGTCATTAGTGATATTATTTCAGGAGAAGCATGAAAGTCAAAGCATCAAGATTTATGTTTCAATTGTTATTGGTCAGCACACACTTTGAAGGGAGGAGATGTTCTAGAAGTGTCCAGAAGCTTCATTAAATTGGGAGAGTTTTACCAATTACCACATGAAATGTGCTTCGAATGGTAGAAAATTGAAGGGGGATCCTGGGATGCCGAGTCCGAGACTACTAGTGGGTTAATCTACCACGAGATAGAGAAGAAACTACTGAATACAGAGAATGAGAGAATATGAGAAGATGTGACTTTGGAAGACTTGAGCAAATCCTTATGCCTGGGGTAACATATTTTCTCACAATGGTTTAAATAGAACAGAAACTGTTTATCAAACGAATTACTTTTTCCTTACACAATTGAAAAAAAACTCACAGAAATATATGCCTTTCTGCAGCTCCCTCCCACCTGCCCTCACCCCTTAGAATGCTAAGAACTGCAGATGCCAGCTGGGTGGCCAGTTAGTGACTTTTGGCACATGCCAATAGCTCAAGTCTAGTTTTAAGGATAAAGGTACTACTTAGGAAGACAGACATAAACACGTACTTGATGTTGAAGTGACCGTGAAGAAAGAGGGTCCGCAGATGCCAAGGCCTTTTGTTTCTCACCTTACAGTAACTACTTTCTTCAAGGGTGAGTTGGGGCATTTGGGTCTGGACATCATCCTTATTGCTCAGCATTAACTCATTGGCAGCCCCAGGAAGCAGCCCCCATGTTGTTTCAGACATTTCTTAAAGAAAACAAATCAGAATCCATAGATTTTGTCTCACAGCATCCTCAGGCCAGCCCTGAGGTCGACAGGGCAGAGATTACTGTCCTGACTTTTCACATGATGTAACTGAGGCTCAGGGAGGTTAAGTGACTTGCTCAGGACGAAACAGTTAATGGTGAAAGTCGCATTTGATACTGGTTCTAATTTCAATATTTCCTTGACAGTAGCTCATGCAATATACCCATTTTCTTAATTTTATTTGCTTTATCCTTGGCCTCAGACACAAAATAGAGCAACAAATAAAATGGAATCAATGGAATTAGCACCTTTGTTAAGATAACTCTTACGTTGAGAACATTTGTAAACTGTCCAGGTGTTCTCTTCCTACAGCTTTTGGTTCAAAATTTAAAATTGGACATTTTCTTTCTAGGCCTTAATCTTAGAGTTGTGGTCATTTTTCTGGCTCTTAAGACTTTCTTTGTCAATATCCAGAAAAATTACCAAAGCTCTGTAAATTCTATTGATCCACTTATAATCTCAGGTCACACTGGGAGCTGACTGGGCCTTGGAGAGCTCTGGGATCCTAAGGCTGATTGGCAGAGCAGACCTGCATAAGTCCCTCTGTGTTTCACAGGGGCAGAGGGGGAAGACCTAGGTGTGTGAGATCTAGAGGCCCCACGGGAGCAGGACAGCTGTCTTGGTAGCAAACTCAGCCTTCCCAGAGCCTCCAGGCCAGCTCCTGTCCTGTATCCCTGAAGTGTGGGCTGGGCAGAGTCATGGAAAACTCCAGAGGAAGATAGAGAGAGAGGAAGCCTTTGCTCCTGGGACACTGTGTGGTATGACAGGCAGAAGGCAGTGCTCACACTAAGACTCACGGAGTGCAGGAAGTTGGTGGCCACAATTCTGCACTGTGAGTGGGCAGATATTATCCTGCCGTTTAGGCATTTAACAAGCCAGTGCTCTCTCCTTGACAATATCTATACATAGAAACAAGAATCAATCATTTCCAGCCCTTTGGGGCTGTTTGCTAAGTAATCCATCAAACAGCTGAAAGGGTAATCCAATTTGGTGGGCGTGATGACGAAGTACAGTTGTCTGAGTCATTTGCGTCATGTACTGAAGAGTTGATCAGGATCAAAGTGCTAAAATAATTGACTGAAGAAGACAGATTTGTTGTGATGTGACTTGAGGGGGCAGAAGGAGGTACAAGGTCCCAGACACATGAGGAAGGGAGATTTTAGCACAACCCCAGAAAGACTTTCCTATCAACAGGGCTACAGACATGGGTACAGACTGACTCCATGAGAGTAGAGTCACCTGCCACGTCCCAGGCAGTACTCATAGATGGTGAGCAACTCTGGCAAGGACTCTGTGGAAGAGATTCCTATTTCAGGTGGTATGCTGAGCTGAGTTCCGTTTCCTCCAATATCTTAAGGTTACTATGATTACTAAGCCACACCAGCTTATCCTCTATCCCAGGGACTGCCCAGGAAAAGACCATTATGAGGGTTCCAAGATATGGAACTGGTCTCACAAATGGCAAATGTTGTATTCTGTATAAATAGGGCCTGAGTTTCTCCTTGGACAGGAATGATGTATTTAAGTTGGCGATTGTAAACTTTTTGAGGGGAGGGACCATATCTTATTCACCTACTTTGTGTAAGACACTCTACTGGGCATTTAAAGGGGATACAAAGGTGAGCAAAATCCAGCCTCTACCCGGAAGTCTATGGGGGAGGTGGTCAGCATACTCTCTAAAATGTTTGTAAATAGTACGAATCAAAGGCAAAGTGGGAAAAGTGCCACGAGAGAAGTTTGCAAAGCTCTGGGAGTGCAGAAAAGGAGGCTGAGTCCAACCAGGAGGATTTCAGAAGGCACCATGGAGGAGGTGGCATCACTTGCCCTCAAGGGATGAGAGGAATTTTGACAAATGAGGGGAAAGCATTAGAGGAATAGGAAATAGTATGAACAAAGACTTTGAGGCAGGAAACTCAGGCATAGTAATGCCAAGCTGGAACAAGGCAGCCTGGATTTGAACCCCAGCTTGGCCATCTAGTAGCTACAATTTTTAGCAAGCCGCTTAACCTCTATGTGCCACAGTACTTCATCTGTACAATTGAGATAATAATAGTATTTCCCTTATGAGGTTGTAACAAAGCCTAAGTAAGTTAATATACGAAAACCACCCAAAACAGTGCCTGAGACTCAAGAAGCACTCTCTATGTGCCCGCCATTATTTTTATGTCACATATACAGTATTCAAAACCCATTTATATTTTTGTTCTTATCACATTCTGAGGTAATGAATGCCCTGCTTTTTAATTGCTCACAACTTAATGAGGCATACAATAAAAATTGGAGCATTTTTTCCTAATTAAAAGTGTCAGAAGAACATAAGTCACCCCCAATTTACTAATAAATAGGCTGCGCACCAAAAGCTTATTTGTATGTCCTATATTTGGAACTCTGAAGACATTTGTCTGCAGAAGCACTGTATTCAGGTATTGCTGGACTAGTTCGTCAACAGCTATATAAGCCACAATGGAGTAAGTATCCAGGCCTAAAGGCACCAACGAGAGTTCTAGAATGGAAGCAAGTCCTTCCTCTCATGGAATGGAAGGAAAAGGAGACCCTTACCCAAAGTTGGTAATAGGACAAGTCACTTCAATTCAACTACCATTTTCTAAGGATCCCACTGCCTGGCACTGTACTTGGTGCTAGAGAGGGATTTTGGAGATGGACTTGTCTGTTATCTTCTTTATGTTATAATTGACTGGGTCTTCTCCCTCCTCCCCCTTTACTGGTCTTCAGTCCTCTCAGATCGTACTAAGCTTTTGCTTCTTTAGGCTTGCTCCCTAACTTCCTCTAGTGAAAAAAAACCTGGAGGGCAGTTATAGTGCAATTCAGTGTTAGGAGGCAAGCAATTGAATCGTACAAATTCACCCTGGAAGTGGGGTTAACATGTAGGCAGCTCAATTTCGTCTTCCATCCACTCCCTGGGTGCTCCTCTTACTCTGTTGTTCTGCCAAACCTACATGCTCTGAGAGAGCATCAAGTCATTTTCACAAAAATTTTAACAGCAGCTGATCAGGACTCCAGCTAGGGCACAGGGGCAAAGGTGGAGTGGAAAGGCATTGAGATGATCATTTATAAGTCAGGGACTGGATCTGGCTTGATTCATCCATTGTATCTTTTCTCTTGCAACATATGTATAAATATATATATTTGCAGGACTAAGGGAGGGAGATAGTCTGCAGTTCACATACAGAGAGTCCTCACAGAGACAAGAACCATGCCTGACCTTGATCTCATTGACCCAACATAGGCTGATAGGCCTAGCAGTTGACCCGACATCATTCAAGATCTGAGAAAGTGGAATTGGTGACAAGCGCATAGCTCAACGTCTGTGATGTGTTGCTCCCCACCCTTTCCCCTCAATGGGCTCAGAGAAAAAAAGTCTTCTCCCAGAGGTGATGAAAAGTTTGACATGGCCAAGAAAGTTTCTGTTGAAATGAATTTATCACAACAAAGGTGCTGAAATGAAAAGCTAGTCTCTAGAGTTTCTGAATTCAAAATAAGCAAGTCTCTGCCTATTGTCATATATCAACAACATGTCATAGAGAGATGGAGAAAGATTGTTCTGCAAAAGATAATTCAGACAGGCAGCGAGTTCCCTTTTAGCTAAACTTATTTAAAAACTCTCAAGAGAGTAAATATGAATTGATCATGCAACAATTGATCAATGATGACTAAGTGTGGCTCAACATTGATTTATCTTGTATAGCAACAGAGCTAGTTGCCCAAAAGAATATTAAATGAATCCCAAAGCCACTCCCTTCAGCAATATGTGAGTGCAGCTCCAATCTTGATTCTTTTGATTTGCTTAACTTCTACATTGCATTCATTTTTTTTTCTAGAGAGAAGATTTTTGTTCTTAGAATAGGGGGAGGGTGCTACATAGTGAATAGTCAATGTGCTTTCAAATTTAACTGGTAAATTTTTTTTTCCCAGCCCGCTTGTCTGTTTTATTGGGGGGTGCTCAGGCCTTGACCGCGTACTTCCGCAGCGGGTACAGGCGCTCCTTCCGCTGCTGCTTCTTGGTCTTCAGGTTCTCTTCGTGCTTGTTGAGCCGGCGGCGCGTGGCACTTGTTTTCTTGGGCCGCAGATCCAGGGGCTTGTACTTCTTGCCCTTGTAGAATTTCCTGAGGTTCTCCTTCTGGGTCTGGTTAATGACGGTGAGAACACGGGCGATGGATTTGCGAACAACTTGGATCTCGGAGAGCTTGGACGCCGCGCCGCCAGTCACTTTGGCGACGCGCAGCTGGGACAGCTCCACCTTCAGGTCGTCCAGCTGCTTCAGCAGCTCTTCCTTCTTGCCGCGAAGGTCTCGAGCCTTAATCTTGGCCTGCGCGCAGGACAGGGACCGGGTCAGACACCTCGCGGGCCGCCCTCCGCTGCGCCCGCGTCGTGGCCAGGCCAGCGGGGCGCGCGCCTCGCCCTGGGCCACGAGCCCGCTGGGGGCCCAGCATCCCCGCTAAGCCGTGCCTTGAGTAGCAACTGGTAAATTTTTTAAAGAGAAATTTATATTGATTTTTAAAATGTAGAAAATTGACGAAGGCAAATGAATCCTGAGATCCATTAGACGAAATCACTTTTTGTTTTCCATTTTGCTAAGATAGAATCTCGGAACTGTACAGAAATAATAGTGGGGAGAGCCAATAAGACCATTTGAGTCAACAGAAGGAATAAAACTTTTTAATCAAACGTTTAATCAGAGTTTCCCTGGTGGCTCACCAATGGAAATAATATTAGATGAAGGTAAAATATGTTTTGGTAATAATATCTACATCATTTGTTGTGTGTCTGGGAATAAATATGTGGGATGGGGGGACTTGACTGGTTCTACAGTTCCTGAGCCTATCTTATGCACTGTTACTCATCTGTGCTTTGCTGTAGCACTCAGGAGTTCCCTACTGCTGACCTCAGAATGCAGGCTGTGCTCCTGCCATAAGGTGTGGAAGTAGTGATGGAAAGGTTCATAGTAAATGTCTGCTTTGCAGGCTTCTTTTCCTCTGCTCAACTCTTAAATGCCAATATTTCTCAGGGTTCTTCTGCCCTAGACTATCTTCTTTCCCCAAACCATGCATTCTACGGGGCAAGCTTAGTCTCTTTTGCGGCTTCAGTTACTAACTGCAGGTATGACCTTGTATACTCAGCTGCCTACTGGTAATCTTTACCCGCATGTCCTTCAAACTCAGCATGTCTTTCCCCTAAACCTTTGTATATTTCTGATTCTGATTAATGACATCTTCTTCTGCTAATCACCCAAGCCAGAAACCTGCAAGTCATCCTAGACTCCTCTCTTTCTCCCACACCCACATACAGTCTATCATCAACTCTTATTGATTCTATCTTCTGAGCACCCTCTCTAATCTGTTAATTGCTGTATTTCTCTGCTGCTGCTGCTACTACCTGTAGTCCAAGGCACCCTATCACTTGCCTGGACCTCCACTTTCCCCTCACAACCTTACACTCTATTCTCCACACTGCACCCAGAATGGTGTTGCTAAAATAAAACAAAATAAAAAAGCCATCTGATCATATCACTCCCCTCTTTATAAACATGCGTTGCTTCCCCACTGACTATAGAATCAACTTCGGCTTTGTCCTCCGCCACTGGGAAACTTCTTACTTCTGGAAGAAGGCATCCTGGTTCTTTCAGGCCTCTGTGCTTTTGGACCCTCTGACCAAATTCCCGATATAGCCTAGTAGTAGTTAAGATAACAGGCTTTGGAATCAGATAAATCTAGGTTCAAATCCTGGCTCTGCCTTGTACTTGCACTAGCTGTGTCAAATTACCTAATCTCTCTGAATATCAATTTACTCCTCTCTTAATTGGAGATAATAAAGGCACCTAATGCACAGGAATAAATGAGATAGCATCCATGAAGCACTTACTATCAGTTCCCACTTTCTCTACCGAGTGAGTGCCCATCTAAGAGTCAGGCCAAGTTTCACCTCCTCTGTGAAGCTTTTCTTGGCTAACGGTGCCATAATCCTGTCCTTCTCTCTTTTGTATTCCCCTAGGCACTTTTGTTCATGTGTAACTTTTGTTGCTTGCCCACTTGCACTCTAAGGATATATTTCTGCCTCCGCCCCCTCCCTAGCAGCTGGCACAACACCCAACATGGTGAGCATTCAGTAAGTGTTTGTTGAACGCTGCCTGAGTGAGGCAGACTTTTGGAATGTTAGATTTGTCCTCTCAATCTGAAACTGTAATATATCACAGGATAATCTCAGCTATGAGGAGGAGGGATTCTCTTGGTACTCCAGTGTCCCTTCAGTGTTTTTATTTATGAAATAGGACTCTTTGCCAAGTTTTTGTTTATCTATAACTCTGACTTTTTCTCCCTCTCTGTCCTGTGAGGGGAGAGTTTCCTGTGATAATGACACCTAAACATTCATTACACCTAAACATTCAGAGCTGTCAGTGTTTGCCTATACTCCTCTGCTCAGCCAGAGACCGCATCTGGGGAAGGCAAGGCCAAAGCCATATTTACCCCAACTGTCTTTCCTTCACTCTGTTATCATCATCTGTGTTGAAGGAAGAAAGCAAAGGCACCTTCTTGTGATGGTTATCCTACACATGTCCCTTGTCGTTTCTGGGCCTCAGTTTCCTTGTCTACTAAATGAGGCCTCACTAGATGATCTCAAAGGTCCTTCTCAGGGATAAAGTTCTCTGAGGAGAACCAACATTTTCCTGTTGGTTTGTAGAGATTATACAGTGGTTTTACACATATTAACTCCCTTCATGAGATAATACATCTGAGGTAAGTATTAGCATCACTATTTTTCAAATTAAACTGAGGCTGAGGTGGGTGGGTGGAATGATTTGACCAGTTCCACAACTCCTGTAAAGTCAAATCCCTGGCTCCTTCCTGTTGTTATAAGGTCTTCCCTGTAGACTGAGCTGAGCAAAGTACCCCTCTTGGTGTGCACTTAAAAAAGTGATGTGCCCATTACCACACATGTTCTCAGGGCCACTGTGGTGGAGAGCAGGGCACACAGCAGTGATGAAGAACCCGGGTGAATTAAGGGGAGGATGTACCTAGTCAGTGGGTGGTCTTTGGGAGGCAGTGGCGCTGGATTTCATTCTCTCAGACAACTCCAGGGGCAATGAAAATAAAGAAAAATAATGGAATAAAATTCAACACTGAGATCCTCTGTTCAGCACACTAAGGCAGGAACTATTTTTCACAGAATTGGGTTCCATTAATACAATGTTTCTGAAAACAAATTGGGTTCATAGATTTTATTATTGCCCCCTATCCTCAAAAGTGGATATCCCCAATCACCCCCTGGGGCTGGGCCAGTGGCGTAGTGGTTAAGTTCATGCACTCCGCTGCAGCAGCCCGGGGTTCGGGGGTTCGGATCCTGGGTGTGGACCTACGCACTGCTCATCAAGCCATGCTGTGGCAGCGTCCCACACACAAAATAGAGGAAGATGGGCACGGATGTTAGCCCAGGACCCATCTTCCTCAGCAAAAAGAGGATGATTGGCAATGGTTGTTAGCTCAGGACTAATCTTCCACACACACACACACACACACACACACACACACACACAAAAGTGGGTCACCCCAAACTTAAACTTGATCTTCCATCACTACACTCTTCTGCATATCAACCATCCACCACACTATCACTGATTATACCACTTTTGAGAAAGGAACGAGGTTATATATTCCACTGACTCATGCAATTTTTTGATCTGGAAGAGCTCTTAAGGATCATTTAGTCTAACACCCTCATTTTATGTACTGAGACTGAGGTATAGACAGGTGGAGTGACTTTCCCAAAGTGTCACAGAGACTTAACAGAGGAATGAAATGGGACAAATTCTCCCAACCTCAGTCCAAGTTTCTTTTTTATTGTACCTTGTATCATTGATTTATATCTGGATGCTAAAAGTGTGACAATACTTTAGTGGAAGAGAAAGGTAAAAAGAAAGATGCATCTATGTTTCTGTTTAAAGCAAAAAGCAAAAAGCAAAAAAAAAAAAAAGATGCTAAACCAAAATGACTCTTAGATTGTAGCTACTTATCAGTTAAAATAACACAAAAATATCACTACTACCACCACCAGGACCTCCTCTTCCCCACCCCCATCACACAACACCCACACATACACACACCCTGCTTGCCATGAAAAACTCAAGATCTGTTAGTGATCGAAACCAGCCCTAGGTCTGGAGTAGCCTTTTCTGGGAATATATATACAAACTTTGGCAGGAGTTCAATCAGTGCAGCTCAAATACCTACACCCACACCAAATCCTGGGCAATATCAGTCTCTTGTCAAATACGGGCATTTTCTGGGAACTTGGGAATGATGGTTATAGCAAACTGTGGCCCTGAAGACTCACAGGCCAATCTAGGTGAATTCGATTAAGCGAATGGGTGTAGTTCAGTAAGATTTAACTTTCTATCATCATTTTATCATTCTTCACGAAAGTTGATTAAGTATCAAAAATAACCTTATTAGGAAAATTGTTATATTTTTCATATCTTTTCTAAAGCTGAAATTCAGACTTAGAGGAAGAATTGGTTTGTCTCTTTTATTTCATGACTTTCACATACTTGTGAGCATAGTCTTCCATTGGCTTATGATTCTGAACACTTCAAAGGGACTATTTCAAAATTAGGTAAAAGTGATGATATGGGACTACTGTTGTGTAAGATGACTTTTACTATGGAAGCAGGATCTCAAACAGCAGTTGTCCTGCTGGCAGTAGAGTCAATGGAGTTCTTAACCCAGGCATAGGAATGCCTGGAGGGTCCACTCAAGGGGGCAACAAGACTAGTTCTAGAGCCCACTTGCTGCGGGGAATGGGGGGTGAAGTAAATGGTTAGAGCTCCTATACCCATGCCAGGCTTGGTTCTATGGTTCAGACACTGAGTAGGGTCAAACCTAAGAGTGGAAGGTCTTCTGTTCTGTGGCTGAGTGGAGCTTGACCAGTCCAGGACTGACATCAACTCTCAGTAAAGATGTGGTGGGGAATTTGACAGAGTGGAGAAGAAGGATGAGGACAGAGAAATGCAAAACTATGAAAGGTCATACAATGAAATGGGAAATGGAATTGTGGTCAAAAAAAGAGGTTGCGAATTGATGAACCTGAAGGTATTTCCATAGGATTAGCACTAGGATGAAGCAGAAATACTCTGAGAAATGTTTTGTGGACCCAGTTACTGGGTTACAATCAAGTTGCCCCATAGAAGAAACAATACTTCTCCAAAAAGCAAGGCACCAGAAAGATGCCTCAACTTGCTCTCTTAGAGACTTTGGAGCCAATGTTTATACAATAGAAAGGTAGTATAAGTCCTCAGTCCAAAGAAATAGCTTACTGAAAGAAATTAAAATGATAAAAGACATTGGTGGTTACCAGAGGTGGGGGATGGGGGGTAAGAGAACAGGGTTAAGGCAGTCAAAAGGTACAAACTTCCAGTTATAAAATAAATAAGTCATGAGGAAGTAATGTACAGCATGGTGACTATAATACTGTATTGTATATTTGAAAGTTGATAAGAGAGTAGATCCTAAAAGTTCTCATCACAAGAAAAAAATTTTGTATAACTATGCAAGGTGACAGATGTTAACTAGTCTTACTGTGCTGATCATTTCGCAATGTGTACAAATATTGAATCATTATGTTGTAGACCTGAAACTAATATAATGTTATGTCAACTATACCTCAATAAGAAAAAAACAATAAAAGATAAAAAACAAAAGAATCAAGCTGTTGGGGAAAATGCTCTCAAATACTGAACTTCAGAAATGTGTTGAGTGCATCAGCAGCTAAAGTGGACAATAGGGCCAAGTATATTGCAGAGAAGAGGACGAAGCAAAGCAGAACTGCAATTCTGCCTGTACTCAAATGGAAAGGAACCAGCCCTACGTGAGGGTTCTTACAGAATCCACAGGGCGATACAAAAGCAGGGCGGAGGCAGCAGAAATGAGCTTCTTCTTCACTTCTTCACTTCCCCCTCATGTCTCCATTCATGAAACCTGATTTTCACCACTTCCACTCTCAGATTGTTCTAGCAAACGTGACCATTATTTATTAACTCATTCATCTATTAAACAAATATTTAGTAAGGAACTACTCAGTGCTGGCACTGAGCTGGGCACTTGAAATCCAGACATGATTAGACAAAGTCTAATCTGCCAAACCAGAACCCTAAGTTCAACTCTCTCTCACTCCCTACATCTAACTTTTCACCAAATTCTGCCAATGCTACCTTATAAATATGTCTTGGACTTGCCTCTGCTCTCCATCCTCCCTAGCACTTAGTCCCAACCTCATTATCTCTCTCTTGGATTGTTGCAATGCTCTTGATCTTCCATCACTACACTCTTCTGCATATCAACCATCCACCACACTATCACTGATTATCTAACACCAGGCTATTCTTGTAATTTATATACTTTAAAACTTTGATGGCTCCCCGATATTCCTCCACAATAAATTTCAAAGCTCTTAAGCCATCTATTCAGGGCTCTTCCTAATTTGATCCCTCCCACCCAAAGGTTCTAGCTTTACCTGCCATCACTCTCTTCGACACACACCCTGCTCTGGTTATGCTGGCCACTTCCCCTTCTCTGAATGGCATTGTCCCCAGGTACATTCATGCCTCTGTATCTTTTCTCATGCCAATACCTCTGATTACAATGCCCTTTACACCCTCCCATCTTCTCTTCATACTTCAAGGTCTTGATCAAATACCACCTTCTCTGTGTAGATAATTGTTCTCTCCCTTTTTATAACTTTTTTTCTCCCAACCCTTTCTAAAAATCTCCATCACATCATGTTAGTTTATTTGTTTGCTTAAAGTACTCCCCCCCGAGAGAGAAAGCTAATTAATGGATTTGATTTATCTCTGCATCTCCAGTGTTCAATATATAGTTTGGAGTGAATTAATGCAGACATGATTGAATGAGTTGGCTAATGAGTTTAACCACCGTAACAATAGTTAACTAAGTAACTGCCTTGATCCTCTCTTACGTTGAAGGATATTCCAGGGGAGTTTGGGGTGTGTGTGTGTGTGTGTGCGTGCGTGTGCTTGCGTGCTGTTATTCTGTTGTTTGTTAGCCAAGTTATTAAGCTATCACCTTTGCTCTCCACCTTTTCCTAGCTCTCGTGGAGGTGGCTGAGAAGGTGGTCTGGTAGAACTGGGCTGGAGATAGCAGAGGATCAGCATTGCCCCATCATCTAGGGCTAAAGCACTCTGAAGAGAAACTGACCCTCAGATCTGTTGCTCAAAGAGCTAGGGGACCCACCTGTGGGCCTCAGAGTCTCAAGTTTATGTCACCATCACACTTTGGAATGATGAGTTTTTATCCCCCTATCTCCTAGCATCTTGCCGGGAGGTTTTCCTTGTTCTGTTCCTTCTCTCTTACAGACGCCCCTTTCAATTTCTCCTGTAGAGCTCAGCGCATCTCTGTGAGAACAGGAAGTGTGGCAGTTTATCACAATGTCTGTCCCCAATGTTTTGCCTAAACTCTTGGACATTCTATGAGATGGCTACTGCTAACAGAAAATGGAAGTGGAGACTTTATATAAAATTCATCTGTAAAATAGTGTTCTTCAATGATAGCAGGACCCATTGGATTTCAGTACAGGTACTCAGGCTTAAAGTTCAACCTCAGGGGACCCTCTGTGATTTCTCTTGTTTTGCACTGCACACTAGTCATTCTTTACTTAAAGATAGAACATTTTTTAAAATATAATTTTAGGAGTCATTTCTATCCATTAGTTACACCATAAAATGAGCACTTATCACGTGCCAGGCACTGTTCTAGGTTCTGAGGCTACAGTGGCAGGCAGGACAGATCACATTACCTGGCTTTATAAAGCTCAGAGCCAGGGGTGTATATAATGCAGGACAGCTGTGAAGGTGGGCTGAGAATGGCAATGAGGAGATGCACAAAAGCAAGTAACCAGTCAAATACATAAAATAATTGCAATCTGTCAACAGGTGTGACAAAAGGAGTGATCAAATTTAGATCTTCCAAGGACAGTACAATTCAAGTCATACAAAAATTACTTCCTGTAGGTGCCTACTGAACCATCACTGAGTGGATGGAAGAGGGAAGGAATGAAGAAAGGAATAGAAAAAGTCACTTGGAATTTTAATTGTGGTTGAACCAGTTTCAGATATTCCTTGAAGGTCCTTCCCAAGGGAGACGATGTAATTTCTAGACCGTCGTGCTGTCCTCTATCTGCCTGTCTCCACCACCAGGAGAACTGCCTGAAAGGTTGCTTAGCCACTGGCTCTCCAAGGACCTTCTCAAGGCTTCCCTGGCTACACATCCCCTGGCTGCGGGGCCCCTGTTGCCCTGCCATCATTTCCTCTCAGTGTTCAATTTGGTGACTTGTTATTAGACAAATCATGCCCTACATTTGAAGACTTTGTTGTCCTTCCTTGAAGAATTATGATGAAGGACATAAGGGGGAGACAGTAAGCTTGGTGAAGTGAGCATCAGGTGGGGAGTTGGGATACGCAGTTTCTGATATAGCCATTAACTCACTCTGTGATCCAGGAGAGACGATAGTATATCTCCAGGCCTTTGTATCTTCACCAGAACAATGGGGGTGGTGGTGTAAAAGTAAAAATCAGCAAAACCTGGCAAATCAAGATGAAGTCTATTCAAATAAGCTAATCTAATGCTTGGTCACAAAAGTATTCACACAACCCTAGCCCATCACAAAACTGTGGAAGAGTCCTTACAAATCATGCCATGCAACACTGGCCCTAGAAAGCAGCCGCACTGTTTTCTAGGCTGAGACTAGTTTGGACTAGTACACAAACGTAGTAATTATGAAATCCTGAAATCCAAAGTAGTTTCTGTGTCTGAAAAGACAATATGCAGCTAATGTTGTGCCCTAGGTAGGCAAGTAGCAAGAAGAAGAACCAGTTATTTTGGCCAAAGATTTTTGTTCAGATATTCCTCCCCATGTGGAAGTGTGCTTAGCCTGGAACCTTCCCCAGGAGAAGGTGGGTAGCTCACTGTCTTCTCAGATGGGCACCTTGCAGGCCCTCGTACCCTTGCAGCAAAGGAAGCGTGTGTTTTTCTTTCTGCTTCTGTATAATAAATTGGTACACTAAAACAGAGCTCTTCAATAAATATTTCTTTTTATTACTGCAACTACCAGAGACCCAGGGCTTGGTTCCATAATTTATGATGGTGTTTGTTCTCACTCTCTGCTAAGATTTTCAAGATATAAAAAGTTTTGGCAGGCTCTCTTAGGTCTGATTTGAAAGCCAAGTCCCATTTCTTCTATCTCTGTAGTGTCTCCCAAATTCCTCATCCTCTCTTCCCTAATCTCAATGCCTCTGCTCATGCTCAGGCCTTTATCATCTCATATGGAGACCATTGCTGTAGCCTCCTATGTACTCCTCTTATGGGACTCTTTCTAAAGCAGGACTCGGATCCTAGCACTCCTCTGCTCAGAAACTTTCCATGACTCCCCATTTCCTACAGAATTACTCTAAATTCTTTTTTTTTTTAATTTTAGTTATTTATTTTTTCCCCCAAAGCCCCAGTAGATAGTTGTATGTCATAGCTGCACATCCCTCCAGTTGCTGTATGTGGGACACGGCCTCAGCATGGCCGGAGAAGCGGTGCGTCGGTGCACGCCCGGGATCCGAACCCGGGCCACCAGCAGCGGAGCGTGTGCACCCAACTGCTAAGCCACGGGGCCTGGCCTCTAAATTCTTTTATCTTTCATTCCCAACTATTTTCCTAAATTATCTCCCACTACTCAGCTTTCTTAACTTCTTTTTAAATTATGAAATATTTCAGGTGTATAGAAAAATATGGAGAAATACATAGGAAATATCCATGTGCCCACCACTTGGCTTTTTGAGATCCTAAGATTTTAACATATTTACTTCAGATCCTTTTGTAAGACACAAAATATTGAAGATCCAGTTGAAGTTTTGGGAATCCCCTCCTCGCTCCAATTCTTCTCTCTCCCAAGAGTTAACCACTATCTTATATTTTTATTTGAAATATATTGGACATATAAGTGTGTAAATTTAAGGTGTACAAAACGTTGATTTGGTATGTTTATATATTGTAGTATGGTTGCCATCGTAGTGATAATTAGCACTTGTATCACGTCACATAATTATCATTTCTTCTTTGTGGTGGGAATAATTAAGATCTATTTTGCTTTTAACATTCTCATGCATGTTTTTCTAATTTTACTACAAGATTATATATCCATAAGTTATATATAATATTTTGCTGTATGCTTTTAAATTTTATTTAAATGGCAATGTACTCCAGCCTTCACAATGTACTTGCTTCACTCAGTATTATGTTGCGATTTTTCATTTTGACACGTGTAGCCTACAGTTCATTCATTTTTATCGCTCTATAGTATTCTGTTTTATGAATGTGCCTGAATGTATCTATCTATTCTCCTGTTTCCAATTTTCTGCTATTGCAGAAAAGATTGCAATGAAAATCCACATACATGTCTCCTTGTGCACCGTGGGAAAGTGCTTTTCTAGGGTATTTCCTTCTTAGACCTGGAATCATTATATGCTCATTTTCAGCTTTACCAGGTATTGCCCTACTACTCTCCTAGGTTGCATCATTTTATGCTTTTATCAGCTGTTTGTGAGGGTTCATATTCCTCCACTTCCTTGAGATACTTAGTACTATCAAACTTCTAAATTTCTGTCAATTATATGAATTTGAAATGTTTATTGTTTTACTTTGCATTTCTCTGATTACTAGTGCAGTTGAACATATTTTCATAAGTTCCGTAGCCATTAAGGTTCTACTAGTGGTAATTGCCTGTTAATATTTGATGCCCATTTTTTTGAATTGTCTTTTTCTTATTGGTATTATGCGTTCTTTATTCATTCCGGATTTAATATTTACAAGTTATATGTGTTATACATATTTTCTTCCAGTTTGTGGCTTTCCTTTTCATTCTGTTTATGGTATCTTTTGTTGAGTAGATATTTTACATTTTAATATGGTCAAAATTATCAATCTTTTCCTTTATGGTTTGTGTTTTTGTGACTTAAGAATTTCTTCTTTAATTTGAGGTTGTAATGATATTTCCCTATAAAAGTTTAAAATTTGCTTTTGGTATTTAGGACTCTAGCCCACTTGGGATTTATTTTTGTAATCGGTTTGAGGTAGGGATAGATACACTTATATTTGTATTTGTTTTTATGTGGATAACCAATGTTCCCAGAATCATTCAATGAATAGTTCTTCCTTCCTCGCTGATTTCTATTGCTATCTCTGTTGTATATACGTGTGGATCTGTGTCTGAGCTCATCATGCTGTTCCATTGATCTGTTTGTCTATCACTGTGTAATATCACATTGTCATATAGCTTTATAAGAAGACTTGATATCTAGTAGGGAAGATCTCTCACCTTGTTTTCTTTTCTTCAATATTTTTCTGTTTATTTTTGGCCCTTTACTCTTCTGTATGAATTTTAAAAATTATCTCCTCAAGTACCATAAAAAAAAACAGTTGAGATTTTGATTGAAAATGCACTGAATATATAGAGTAATCTGGAGAATGGATGTCTTTATGATACTGAGGTTTTGCATCCATGAGTATAGTGTATCTTCCCATTACTTAGGTCATCTTTTATG